CTATGACACAAAAAGGAAAATTATCCTAATTTTTCTATGAATATTTGAAGCAGGAAAAACAAAAAACATCAAAGCTTACAGGAGGATGAGAAAAGGCAAAACTTCACCCACTCTTTTGCTCAACCTGTGGTGAGCTGCAAACATAAAGCTGCTCCTTCCATGCTACAGAAATATCTTGTCCTTCCAAACATGTCCTCACAAAGACAGAAGCACATGAATACACCCACAAATTCACAAAAGAGCACGCACAGGAGAGGACAGTCTTAAAGATAGTTTTGGATTTTTTTTTTCAAAGTCAACTGGTATCTTTAAAGATTTTAATGTTCCAAAAGATGTAAGCATCTGCAGACCAGAGAACCTCTCAAATTCAGAAACCCTGGATTTTCTGTACAACAAAGTTTGTTCGCTTCTTACTGGGGTAAATCACCATGGTAATTTGAGCTATGTCCCTAACCTGCTCTGGAGCAGATTAGTGTCACAGAACCTTTATGTAACAGTAAAGCCGCTATGATATTCTCATCACCCTGATATGGCACGCACTGCACTGTCGCCTCACAGCAAGAAGGTCCTGAGTTCGATTCCACCATCTGCGTTTGCATGTTATCCCCGTGTTTCTGTGGGTTCTCTCACATCCATCAACCCCCTACTTCATACTATACTAGGCACACTGCCTCTGTCACTAGCTGTAGCTGTAGTGCCTCTTCACTTCACTGTGCAATACCTGTTGTGCAATACTTTTGTTAATAGTCAACGGTGCAATAGACCTCAATACTTTAAATGTGCAATTAACTTGTATTTTTATTTTTATTTTTTATTCCTATTTATTCTATTTATCCCCTTTGTATATTTTATTTATATATGTCTCTGTATTTATATGTGTGTGTGTGTGTATATATAATATTCTGCTCACGCTCTTTGTAACTTCTGTCGGTGCTGTGCTTTTGGAAACCGAATTTCCCAGAGGAACCCACCCGAGGGATTAATAAAGTTTTATCTTATCTTATCTTACTATTTCCAGTTAATGTGTGTACCTGCTGCTGATTTCTAAACCAGCAGCCGGTGTTAAGCAGTTAACTTCACTTTTTGTGAACTGCTTGGTGATATCAGAATTAAAATGCTGGCTTGCAATTTATGCCACTGAAATACACAGGTAAGAGTTCAGCCAGAGTGTGTGTGTGTGTGTGTTTTTTATTATTATTATTTTAACTTTGTTAAATAACCATTCACAGAGTCTGTTACCATAATAAGATGACCTGAGAACTGGGGCAATTCTAGGATCAGAGCTTTGGGGGTGCTGAGCACCCAGAGAGCTGCCCAGCCAAGCAAGATAAACTTTACACGTCACAATGAGACTTCTTCCCTGTCTCTTTCAGTCCCTGCATCCTTAAATGTCTCCAGTGTCCCGAGTTCTCTATGACTGTCTCCTTGGTGCATTTAAACACCTGTTCCTCCCTGTCCTTGACATCTGTTGTCTTCGTCTCGGTCATCAAAATTTCATCAAAACGCAGTTACTGTAACACGTTACTTAATAACGCGTTAGTCCCTACACTGGCAATGGGTAATCATTATAAAATATGTATATTTTTTTGGAAATGGTGCAGACCTTTTGTGCTCAAAGCTGATGAGGGACCACTGGATGTGGAAGACATTGTCACTGACCACATTTGGTTTACTGTCTTAGACCAGGAACTTGAAGTTGTCCATGGTTTCCAGATCAGGTCTGATAGGAATCAGTCAAAAATAACCACACAGGTTCAAAATGGGTTAAAAATAATGTTTTAAATATGCCAAAAATGTTACAAAGCACTGCAGCAGGTTTTTAAATCAGCAGGAGAACCTAATTCACATGATGGTCTTTAAAGACAATTAGTGCTGATTTTTATGCTTGCACACAATTTTACTGTGAGGAGGGAGACACCCAAAAAAGACTGAATCTTAATAGTAAAAATCTTTTGCGAATAATGAATTTCTTGGAAAATATCAAATATGAAAGTTATTATTGGCTCTGAGTTTCTGCTCATTTACACCTTCCACAGAAGGTTGTAGAAAAGGGAAAACTTAGATGAGAGCCCCACTGCTTCAAAATTGGCCAAATGACCTTCAGGAAGCTCAAACACGACAGAGATGAAAACAGTACTAAATTATGCATTAATATCCAGAATAGTAATATCTCAAACATATTTTTAGATTGAGTACAAGCATTTGGCAGAATATGGGAGCAAATGCTCACAGTCGGGATGATGTTTACAGTTTGAACTAGTAATCTCATCTGTTTTATTTATTCATATTGACTCCATCTCTCGCACTCAGGCTAAGGTTTCAGTTATTGGAAATGTATTATCATTAAGAAAATGATGTTTACAAGCTTCAAATTAAGCATGCGACACATCAAAGTGGCTGTTTACACTTGCTCTCTGCAGCCTGGAGGACCAACATTTTACAACAGCAGGCGGACACTGATCCTCATCTGCAACCTTGAGGTGAACATAAGCAGGCTCATAATGAGAGAACTGCTGATTTAAACTGAAAATTAGCCGAGTAAACATGTGCAACAGAAAATACAGCAGATACATGGAGTCATTCAGGAGAAATGATCAGGGCGAAGAATGTGGGGTCAAGCTTTTGGCCCTCGTTCTCACTGTGAAGGCAAAATGTAAAGGAGTGTTTTGTTTTCCCCTCCTCTACCTTCCAACAGGCACAGAGTTTTATCTGCAGCAGCACGAAGGATGCAGGATGAACAGAAGACGGCAACGATGCAACACTAAACTGGATGCAGTGAAGGAAACGGGTGGCTCTCTATACACTGATAGAGAAGTCTTTGTGGTTTATGTCATCCACTGAGGGAGTTTAGAAGGAAATCCCAGGAGCAGCGGTTTCCAATTTGTGAGTCCCAACAGCTCTGAGGCATAGCTGATCCTCAGGTATTAAAAAGTCCTTCAAATGAAACTCTCAGAATAGAAAAAAGATTGAACTTGAAAGGAGTCAGAAAGCCATGGCTTCATTTTAAGGAGTCATAAGGGTTTGATTTGGAAACATAAATTAGCACTAATTGCAGTTGTACACAGTGTATCCCAACTATGACTGCGGTGATCCCACACTAACCTGATAAGATAAGCATTTGCTGCATACCTTATCAAAAAGTAGCCTTCATTTTCTTTTAATATCATACACCATCAGCCAATTGATGTGTTTTTAAAATGAACATGTAGTATATGGTTTAT